CCATGCGGTCTTGGATTGCTACGCCAAGACTGTTACCTTAGCGATGCCTGGCATTTCCCCAGTGTTGTGGCAGGGTGCTTATAGTCACACACCGACAGGGATTATCTCTTTTATGCGGGCTAGACGGTTGGTTGCTTCTGGGTGTTTAGCTTATTTGGCCTATGTGCGAGATGTGAATAGGGAGGGCACTTCAGTTGACTCAGTTCTTGTGCTTAGAGAGTATGCAAATGTGTTCCCTACAGACCTACTTGGCCTACCCCCAGATCGTGACATTGATTTTGCCATATATTTGGAGCCCCGACACCCCTCCTATTTCTATTCCGCCTTATCGGATGGCTCCTGCAGAGCTCAGGGAGCTCAGTGTTCAGTTTGAGGATCTCTTAGGTAAGGGATTTATCCATCCGAGTGTGTCACCTTGGGGTGCTCCTGTTCTGTTTGTGAAGAAGAAGGGTGGGACTATGAGGATGTGTATTGACTACATGCTGCTGAATAAGGTGACGCTGAAGAACCGTTACCCCATGCCTCGTATTGATGATTTGTTTGATCAGCTTCAGGGTGCCGCCGTGTTTTCTAACATTGATTTGAGGTCCGAGTAGCATCATCTGAGGATTAGGGCATCAGACATCCCTAAGACTGCATTTAGGACCCGTTATGGCCATTATGAGTTCTTGGTGATGTCGTTTGGGTTGACTAATGCCCCTGCTGCCATCATGGACTTCATGACACGTGTGTTCAGGCCATACCTTGATTTATTTTTCATCGTCTTCATTGATGACATACTGGTATACTCGCGGAGCCGGAGTGAGCATGAGCAACATTTGAGGATAGTGCTCCAGACTTTGAGAGATCAGCGGCTTTATGCCAAGTTCTCAAAGTGCGAGTTTTGGCTTGATTCCGTAGCCTTCTTGGGGCACGTGGTGTCTAAGGAGGGTATTAGGGTTGATCCGGTGAAGATTGAGGCTATTCGTGATTGGCACAGGCCCACTTCTGTTACTGAGGTTCGTAGCTTCGTCGGGTTAGCGAGTTACTACAGACGATTTGTTGAGGGCTTTTCTACTATTGCAGCCCCGTTTACTCGGTTGACTCGTGTTGACGTTCCCTTTGTTTGGTCAGAGGAGTGTGAGGCGAGCTTTTTGAGGCTCAAGGAGTTATTGACCACCGCTCCTATATTGACTCTTCCAGTTGAGGGCGAGGGCTTTACAGTTTATTGTGACGCATTCGGCGTTGGTTTGGGTTGTGTATTGATGCAGCAGGGCCGGGTTATTGCTTATGCGTCGAGGCAGCTTAAGATCCATGAGCGCAACTACCCCACTCATGACTTGGAGTTGGCGGCGGTAGTTTTCGCGCTTAAGATTTGGAGGCACTACTTGTATGGAGTTCGATGTGAGATCTATACCGATCATAGGAGTCTTCAGTACATCATGAGCCAGATGGACCTTAATTCGAGGCAGCGTCGTTGGATTGAGCTCCTGAAGGACTATGACCTCTCTATTCTCTATCATCCGGGCAAGGCGAATGTGGTAGCGGACGCCTTGAGACGGAAGGCAGTGAGTATGGGTAGTCTAGCCTTCTTATCTGTTGAGGATCGACCTTTAGCTTTGGTTAATTCCTGATAGAGTGTTGAAATTCGCCGGCCACATCTGTGTTCCGAGAGTTGGAGATTTGATACAGTTGATACTTTCTGAGGCCCATGAATCTAGATACTCTATCCATCCGGGCACAACGAAGATGTATCATGATTTAAGGCAGCATTACTGGTGGAGTGGCATGAGGAGAGATATTGGTTACTTTGTGGGTTGGCTTACCTACTGGTGGGTTATAGTAGGTGCCATCATGACTTGAGAAATCGGGTCGTGAAAGGTTCTAAAGTAGATGAGGACCCACAAAACTTTATAGATGAGGTGTTTAAGATTGTGGATGCAATGAGAGTGACTTCTAGGGAGAAGGCAGATTTGGCTTCCTACCAACTCAAGGATGTAGCTCAAGTGTGGTTTGAGCAATGGAGGGATGAGAGACCCATAGGGGCTGACCCAATAGATTGGGGAGTGTTTAAGTCGGTCTTACTTGGTAGGTTTTTCCCCTTAGAGTTGAGGGAGCAAAAGTTGGTTGAGTTCATGAACCTACGTCAAGGGAATATGAGTGTGAAGGAATACTCTCTCAAGTTTACCCAACTCTCTAAGTATGCTCCTACCTTGGTAGCAAATTCTAGGGCTAGAATGAATAAGTTTGTGATGGGGGTTTCCGGTTTGGTTGAAGAAGAGTGTCGTACGGCCATGCTCCATCATGCCATGGATATCTCTAGGCTTATGGTTTATGCTCAACAACTTGAGGAGACGAAGCTTAGGAAGATGATTAAAGATATGAAGAGGGCTAGGCCGGATGAACAAAAACCAATCTAGGTGTAAGAAGAGGTTCCATAACCAAGATTCTTCAATGGTCAACAATGATAGGGTGTCTAACCCTAAAACTCAAAGAGGGAATGGAGGTGGTTCTACTTTTCAGAGGCCTAGGTGTGCTACTTGTGGAAAGCAACATTTGGGCAAGTGTCTTGCCAGTACGGATGGATGCTTTGGATGTGGGAGTAAGGGTCATAAGATGAGAGATTGCCCTACACTTAAGGTAAAAGGGAAAGACACCAATCAAGTTGCTCATGATGGCCCGGATCCAAATGCTCCTAAAATGAACC